TCCCAAGGAACTCCTCTGCCATTGGAAGAACTACCCGCAATAATGGATAGAGTACTTGCACCAAAAATATGTATTATTATTTCATATTGTAAAAGAAATAAATAATAAGATGTTTGTTAGTGATTTAAGTGGAGTGTCATCATGCGTCATGCCTAGGTACTTTGCAATTGGATTTTTTTTTAAAAGTTGTTATGTGGGAGATGATGATGGGAGATAATACGAGGCTTCTGTTTCAAAAAAATTGATTATCAGTTTTGGTATCATTCCTAATTGAAATCCTCTTGTGAAAGTTAAGCTAAAGAGCTAGGCGAAACTTACTTCAGACTCAGACATGGTGATGCTATTTCAATAACTAATTAAATGAAAACTTGTAAACGTTATTAATAGCACAGCAACAGATCAAATGACACAAATGGACGTCTTTGCACGACTACTGCGTACTTACGATTCAAGGATAATACACAGTACTAGTACAGGATAGCTCATCTTCATAAGACCTGTTTAATTCAATTTTCAAGCCCCCGCCATACCGAAGCACCAGTGATGACGTAGGTAGCATGTCGTTTCTCGCCTTGACGTAGGGTGTTTACACCACAGGCTATGATTCCGCGGGCTTTTGCTTCTGCATACTTGGTTTTACTACATTAATTAACATTCTAAAACAACTCTCTTTTAGATCTCGTTTGCAACTTCCTCTTTGGCTATTAGGTTAATCAAAACTAAATAATATTTGTCATTATAAATTTAAATTCTAAACTACGACTGCTGGCGCAAACAGCTGACGACTTAGTTATTGACGTCGGCAATGGTGCTACAGCGATATGGCCGCGATCAAGGTTGTTTAAAAGAAGAAGGTTGCCTGATAACTTTTATGACGTGATCTGTATGCCCAAACATATTGCAAATCTCCATAAAGCACCCCAGATGCGTCATCAAGTCACCCATTACCAGGCAACCTATTAACTTTAGGAACCTTGGGCCGCGATTCCTGATCCTTTACTTTTCTATTTCAAAAAAAGGACAAACAAACTCTCGTTTGCTCCCGACGAACAATTTTATATGATTTGAATCGAATGCAAATAGATGTCGCGACCCAAGAATCGTAAACTCTACAGGATTGCTCAATCGGTTAAATTTGTTCACAATTGCTGTGACGTCACGTGCATCCCAGATTTTCAAGATGGCCGCTGATACGAATGATGTTCAGTTTGTGCTGACAATTATTTTATCGTAAATTCGGATTTATCAAGTGTTATAAGTGCAATTTAAAGTTTGATTTAATGTAAGTAAGCATGAAAGGCTCGTGGCTGAAAATACTCGCGAAAACCCCAAGCTTTTTCTGGTTTTAGTGGTTTTATAATACTGGATTTGTTGTATCAGGACATCGCTTTCTTTTATTCGTGTGTATTGCTAGTTTTCCACTGTATAGTAGTATTCCCTAGTCAAGCATTTGTATTGCTTTTTTTTGTAAATCAAATATCTACTTAGTTGTAAGTTTCCTTTGCATGTAATTACTAAAAATTAGTGTTTGTGAAGAGTGAATAAATAAATATGTAAATAAATTCCTTTACTGGCGCGTTTACTATGAAAACGCGTAGAAAATATGGGAAACTTGCAGTGTTTTTCTGGAATATGATTATGAAAATCTAAATTAGGTATCACTATTTGGCTTTGTGAAATAAGCTTAACTTTGAATGTCCATATTAAATCGTTCTAGTACCTATTAAACTATTGAATTATAATTGAGAAGTAGGTAGGAGCAGTAAAAAATAAAACACACTATTGCAACCACGTTTCGCTAATATTTTGATATTGAAATGCAAAAATTAAACCGGCTCGCTCAAGTTGGCACCCCGTTTTGTGCTCAATTGTGCCAGTATTTATGCGAATTGTGCTCATTTCCATACACAAAAAAAAAAAACATTGAAACAAATCCGGGGGCCAGCTTGACTCCAGCCCCTTGTTTTTTTGACATTATGTTTGGCTCATTGATAAACAGAAGCAAATAATCTCGTCTTCCTAATTAGCCAACCACTCAAACCTCAAGAACACAAATTTTTGAAGTCTGCTAATTTTAAAATTAATTAATTAATTAAAAAATACAGTTTTCAAAGGAAATAACCTCAAAAACACAATTTTTCACGTTTGAAAATGCAAGGAAAGTGCATAATAAAAGACAAACCGATCAAGGACTGCGTGACGTCATTCGCATACCGCCATCTTCGATGTTTTTATGAACGTTTATCTTATGGGATTGAGCAATCCTGTAGAGTTTATAGGGGTTTTCGAGCGCTTTATTGACCGGTAAATACCATTTACTGTCGGTATTTACCAATTTAATTTAAGCGGTTTGGTAATTCGTGGTCATGACCTAAAAACGAGCCCTTGGTCTTTGTTATGAAGTTATTCTTCGACATTGACAAGCAGCGGTATTTACCGGTATTTACACAACTTTCGACCTGTTTTTCACCTCCCACCATTTGTTGATGACAATTGACTTACATTTGAAAAAATTAATGGTGAACGTTTCTTTTTCTTTTTTGTTTATTTTGTTATTTGCAATTTGCATTTGCGGTTGTGTTAGTCCAGTGGTCCAGTCCCAGTTTCAGTATTTTAAATTTGTAATTTAAATGGATAGAAGAGAAAGGTTCCAAATCCTCTTCAACTATGAAGGAAAAGATTTTCAACGTCGACGATATGGATACAGCCCAAGGAATATTAAATGCATCTTCATCTTTGAAAGAAACGAGCGAACCAGAAAATAGAAAATTAATTGGAAAATAATAAGAATATAGTTGTTTGGTTAGAGCTTAAAATGTAAACAAATACAAGGGGATTAAGGGGAAGGAAGAAGCAGACAAATTTGACAAATCAAAACCAAAATGATAACCAACTAATTTCAAGCGTTTTCGAAGTGCTTTGACAATAAACTGTCAAACAAACGTCAAAGGACTGTGACCCAGGACAACCAAGGGCATGACTGCGGTATTTACCGGTCAAGCGCTCGAAAACCCCTTACGATTCTTGGCCGTGACCTAGACGTAGTTGACAGGGTGCAACGTCAATTTTGACTGTTGACAGCGCGCGAAAAATTCAAATAAAAATGAAAATTATTTATTATTATATTCGTGAAGAATCATTTAAAAAAAAACATAATGATTTTCCATCATATAAGGATTTTTCACGTGAACCTGACGCTATTGAGAAATAAATTATTTTTTTTTATCTATTAACTATTTAATGTTTTGCCAGAATAACCTCCAATCCTCATTGTTTAACTTTTATTTGAAAACTCTTCATGTTGTAGTTTTCACATCTCTTTTAATTTTAGCTGTTAAAACCACTGTGGTCATCTCTAAACACTGTTTATATATTTTTTTTAATCTATTTTTTGGACCATGCAGTTTAAGTAGATATTGCTTTCGAGGTCTTGCTTAGGGCATGCATATTTCGAAGATCGAGTTAATTTTGTCCTGGAAATGTTTACCTGCCAAGTTATTATAGTGAAGAATTTGAGGTCAGTATCTAAGTAACATTCGCATGGAGATCTGCTTTGTTAAAGTTAAAGGTTTTGATGGTATCAATCAGGGGCGGACATATATCACCCGGGCAGTTCGATGCGCCGCCCTGGATGCTGCGGAAAAATTCCGAATGTGTAAAAAATTGCCAGACATTGCTACATTCAATAAGGTCTTGATTCCTATCTTCTAAAATATTATCGACCATACCGCCCATGCCTAATAATAATATTTCCGAACATAATTCCGAGAAACACAGACAGACCCAACCGTCCGTATATTGTGATTTGATTACCACTCTTTCCAGGCCGGATTTTTATTTCCCTACTTTTTACGCAATACTCAAGGGCAGTGGCGCACCCAGGGGGGGGGGGCATCGGTGCATAGGCCGCCCGCCAAAAACTGTATTTTTACGTATAAAAAAATACGGCAACATTAAGGCGTGGCACCCAGATACCTCAATTTTTTGTTTAGATTTTCAGACACAAGCCACAACCTATGTAGGGCCCCCCATTCCCCAAACATATTTTCTGGGTGCGCCACTGCTCAAGGGATAGGTTAGGGGCTAGGGGCCCATACTCGTCCCTAGATCCGCCACTGGTATCAATCACTTGGTAAAGATTTTGCTTTGGATTTTGTAATGAAATTTTAACTCCAGTGTGCATTGAAGGGGCTTTCGCATCATTATTCCTATATTGATGAATTAATAACATTCAGTAAAAGTTTCACGCCTCATTCTATCAAAATTGCCATAAGATACTAGCTAGAGAAATAGGGTCCACCGTTAGCTTCGTTATTCTAGCAACACATAAGTAAAATACCTAAACATAGATTTGCATTCCAATGACATAAATTCATATTTTTGGAATGTTGGCCAAACTAAAATTTACTCATAGGTAATTTACAGGCTACGTTTTGTCCTAAATATGTCCAAAGTTGCTGATTCTCTTATTTTAATGATCGCCATCGAATCATAGCTTTCAGAATCTTTTAAACGAGTCTCTGGATGTTCTGCCTTATATTTATATCAATATCAGTGTTTCAGTCTACAGCTTGCAATGGTCTCTTTTTAAGAGTGAGAGACCCCTCAAATTTTTGCCATGTTGCGTGTGGTGTGGATACTTCTATGCTGTTAATGTCAAGGTTTTAATTTCTGCAAGGCTGAGGCACTTTTTGAAACAAGAAATTTGTATGATAAATAATTTTTTTAAAATTGTTATCACCTTGCACAAACATACACAATTGTTAAAAATTAATTATCCACTTATATTTAGAAAATATGAGATACCTACTATCTGATATACAAAACAAACAGATTTTGGCAAAAAAATTCCAACTTCAATTCATAATACAATCAAAACTGAATCTTCTCGCCATTATTGTAGGGGTTCTGACATCAAAAACATAGTGAGAACACCAATCCTCAAAATCATAAATAAATCAAAATGTTTCCTGGATAATCTGCTAATGAAATGCCACCCCTTATTTTGAGAAATAAAAATATATTAACAGTGAAATTATCTTATGTTTCACACAATAGAAGGCTACATACTCATAAAATATCAAAACATGTATACAAATAAATACATAATGCCAGATAAAGATACGGAGCGACCCATTATCTCGAGATACAGCCACGCTGTACTCTTATCCAGACACCTTGTATGTGAAGCTAAACTTAAAAGTCACAACCATCATGTTTTACAGTGAATTCAACAAATCACTAAACGGCATGTCTGCGTGATCCTTAACTTTAACAAAATTATCCACAAAAGTTTTCCTCTGATTATCATTTGTTAAATTTTTATAGAAATCTGCACCGGCGATGCAAAATATCTTCTTGTCTTCATATTCGTATCTGCCCACCCTATTTTGAACAAAAGGGAAAAAAGCTTTCAGCCATTTATTAGGGCTGGCGCTTATGAAAAAGCACGTTAGAGACCAAGTGGCCATGTTGGAGAAGGACTGCGTGAAGTTCGAAAGACTGAATACAACCCAGTCTTGTAGTAACGATAGTTGGTTCAATTCAATCGCACTATCGAAAACCTAAAACAAATTCATTATTTTTTGGCTTAAAAACTTCAAAAGAATTTACCTGGAAAACTACTTCGCTCATCAGCCTCGGATGCGGTTGTTGAGGCGACAAAAACTCCCCAATTACTTTAGTCAAAATGTCAGACGGAGAAAAAAAATCTCTGAGGATCATAGGCAATATTGAACACAACATTTCCACTTCGCTCACATAACTTTTCTTGATACGTTCGAAAATTGCAGATATTTTTTCGATCGTTTGCACTAAGTGGTCTGGACTTGATTGTTCATTTTCTGGTTCCGGCTTTTCTAAATGTTCCCAACAATCTGAAAATTAACAGGCTAAAGCTTAGTGCACACCAGAACATTGTGCCGCACCAAGTAAATGGAATGAGTTGAACTTACCAACATACATATAAGTGACTAGCAACTGTACGCCCAAAATTGAAACTGAGGGATTTTCATTCCGCATTTTCTCCAATGCCAGTTTTTGTAAATTCTTCCCAATTTTTTCTAATACGTACATTGGCTTCACGAGCAGTAACCTTTCCAACCCCTGAAAAAAAATAGTTTTTTTACTTAACAGTGAAGTTCAATTATTGTAAATCAACAGATTCAAAGCCTATATTATCAACAAAGTAATGACATTCTAATGGTTTCAGGAATGTGAACATGTTTGCAGCCCATTACTATAATACATCCTAAACCATTGAAAGCAGCAGAGGTGGAATTTCATAAATGGGATTGGTATCCAAAATTTTGGTCAGAATGAAAACCAAGATCAGGTTTTTAGGCTTGTGACAGTCCTGCAAGAAGTTAAATTTCTTGAAAAGTTTGAAAAGTCTGGCAAGTTTGTCAATGAACAACAGGGCGAACGAAAGTTCTGGTTTCGAGTCCATCATATTCATGATTAGAGACCTTCAATTTCTACAATTCTTTTACGTTCGAAAAAATATTATCACTACAGGGTGTTTCACCGGGAACCAAATCGGTCTTTATATGAAAAACTATATGCAGACAATTTTTGACACATTTGATACCAACTTTGAATTTAACCGGAGATTAAATTTAATTGGAATTTTCAATCATGGATTAAATTCAAAGTTGGTGTCAAATGATAGTTTATCAAAATCTAAGATAGGAATGTGAAATCGGGTTTCCTCTAAAATTAAGCGTTTAGGTTTTACAGCCTGTCAAAGCTGCAAAAAGTCAATTTTCAACTCTTAATATTTCTACAACAGCTGAACTTAGGTATGGGGGTATGGTATATCACATGAAATTTGCACATTAAATTTACGTAGAATCCAAATATGCAATCATATACAGGGTGTCTCATTTAAAATAAGCAAGCTGCTTGAGAATATTTTAGCTGGGGTGCCCCCATTGACATTAGTATACTGTCAAATTTTCAAAAATCTTCTGCATACAATTTTTCCTATATAAATCGATTTGGTTCCCGGTGGGACACCCTGTATAGTATAAATAAATTATAAAAGCTCTAAACAATTTACAATACAAAAACAAAATTACCTTGACAATATATTTATCCTCACAGTCCAGACTTTTATTTTGTACAGACATCACGGCAGATTGTAAAGTATTAACAACAAAATTCGATTCCATATGCACTTCGTCCACATTTTCCATTAGATAGAAGGCTAAAGACCAGACAAGCATAGAATGTTCTTGTGATTGTGTATTTTTCTTGTTTATGTACGATTGCACGTATTCCACTGCGCACGGCAGGATTAGCTGCAGCTCCTCTGATATACCACCAATGGCTATGTTAGACAACAGGCAGCCTTCTAGGATAAAGAGAAGGCCATGCAGACAGGATATTCTCGTAGGCAGAAATGGACTTTTTAGGAATTGGACTAACATTTTTTTAGCTTGTTCATAGATTTCCAGATCCTTAAAATTATCATTATTAACAGGCCTTAAACGCTTTAAAAGTATGAACACTTACTGGATTCAAGACTGCAACTGCTTTGCAAATGCCAATAATTAAATACTGATGAATAAGCTCGTCTTCTACTGAGTGGATTTTCGATAGACTCAAAAAAATATCCAACATCCAGCTGAATTGGGCTTTGTCCGTGAATATATCGGAAATATACAAGGTCGATTTCACTGTTTCATGCAGAATTCTGATGTCGATTACTGCTGACTGACAATATGAAAAAAAAAATTGCACTCAAACGCTTCTGCCTAAAAACTGCTTTCTGCTTCTTACCTCAGACTTCATAAGCTGCGTAAAATAATCCAACAAAAATTGCAAACAGGAGTTCACGTCCAATCCGCAATCCTTCAGCAACTTTTTTCGTCTTTTAAATGTTAACTCAGCACACATATCAGGATTTTTATTTTCCATGGCGCCAGTGGCAAACAAAAAGTACCTGATCGACATTTGACCATAGGAATATTGATTGTTGGTTTTTTCGAAATTTTTATTCAAAAATACGTTTCTTATGTCGTCTCTGGGACAATTGATGCACAGGTCATCGCATATAGTTTGGATTTGGTCTTGGATTATTTTCAGTTTCTTTATGCTACAAAATTGGATTCACTATTTTAGAAATATGTTCTTGCTAGAGCAAAGTACATATACTTATATTATATATTGGTAACGCGCATTCAAAAAGTAAAAAATACACACCCACCTTAAAGTGTTTTCTGAAATCTCCTTATTTCTTGAAACGTGCATAATACTAGAGACATTTTTATTGCCCAATACAGGATACCCTAAAGTTTGTAATAGTTGAGCTGTAATTGCCTTTATTGCATAGCACGAAGCACGCCTGGCAATGGTAATGTCAGGTGAATCCAGATTATCTAGAGGAGGACAAAGAACGCTGAGAAAACACATCCAGGATTCTTCGAATTGTTGTCTGGTTGTCCAGCCAATCAAGGTTATTCTGTAAAATACTATAAAATTACTGTGTGGCTTTCTAATATTGACAATTTGCTTACCTGAAAATGTATTCTTCAAGCACATCAATTTCTTGCAACATATCAATAGGTATAGGAGGAACTTGGGTGAGGAATTTTCCCGTAAACTCTGGTTGCCAGCCCATCTTCCAAACTCTTTTAGGGACAAAGTTGAACGAGTTTACCATAGGCAACCTTGACAACGATATTATTAAACTTCTAGCCTTGTCTAGCAAAAACGTGGGAATTCCCACATAATTATTTTGAATTTTGTAAAGCCAACAAGTCAGAGTGTAAAGACAATGACAAGATTTTTGGGCTTCTCGAGTTTCTAGATTTTCAGAGTTGAATACATTTTCAATTGAAGGCAAAGGATCGTGGTCTACCAGAAAAAATTGCACCAAATAATGGAGGGAATTAATTGAGGAACACAGCCAGGAAATATTTTGTTCCAGGCCTAAATAGCTGCAAAACTGGCTTTGCTTTAAAATTTCATTTGAACAATCTAACAAGGTGTCCAAAAAATTAATGTTTATATAATTTTTGTCGGTAATTAAAATAAAATTTACATATTCTAATGCTATCACTGCAAATTTTGAGATATTTTCGCAATCTATTTCGGAAACCTGCAGTGTTGGTAAAATACAAAGGTGTTTCATTAAAGATGAAAGGGCTAAACATAGATTTTGAACCAAGTTTGTGAAAGTTTCTTCGTTGAATCGTTCTGTTCGTTGGTTTGAGTGGGTATTTTCATTTGTATTCATTTTAAATATCTGAAAAGTAAAATAATGGCATTAGATTTTATTAAATTTCAGAGGGTGGTCTGTTTGAATTAGCAAAAAGTACTTAATCATCTGTAACCTAAAAATTGTTGGAACAGCATATAAAAAAAAAACATAATTTAAGTAGGTATTTAAATGGAGACTTCCTTATACGGACATTGTGTATCAGTATCAGACAAGTATACAACTCGCACTAATCTCAAAGTAAGAAAGCAAAAAGCCTTAGCTGTATAATTATACAAAATAATTCGAAACTTACCTCATGACTTTCATAGAGCTCATCCAAAATCCAACTAACTTCTTTCAAAATAATATCAACTGTAGCTTTTAAAATGGGAGGCTCTTGTTTAAGTGGGCCCTCCCTCAACATTTCCACTCCTCTTTCGATACAATCTTTAAAAATAATTTTGTTAAAATCATCACTAGACATAAAACTAAGCAGCTCGTTGTACTCTAATCTTGCCATCACTCTTGATGTTTCTTTCCTCAGCAGTCCGTCCTGGTATTTTCCTTGGATTTGAGACAGAAACCATTTTTTGTTAATTTCCAGTTTTCTTATGTATTCTGGGTGGACCATGCGCGTTTGGCTGAACTCCAACGGGCTCATATCGTAATAACTTACTAGCAATTTGTTTAGCAGAAAAACAAGGGTTTCGTGTCTAAAAAAAAAAAGAATTTCAATTAAATCTATAATTTACTCATGTATATTTGCCTTACTTTTTAGCCATATTTCTAATATTCAATTCTTCTTTAATGATAAACAAGTCTTCTTTGGTCAGTTGTTTGAGAACTTCTTCTCTAGACAAAGTGAATAGGAACTCAATTTTTCGACTTGCCAACTGGGAAACCATACGCGAAATGGCAATTTGCCGATTGGATAACATTTTTGGAATTAATAATTTAATCGATGCACCAGTTTGGGAAGTGTGACAATTTTCTATGGCTTTCAGAATTTTGGTTTTAAAAATGCACTGGAATTACAGACAAATTTAAAAAAATAATAAGGAAATTTGTACTTGTACTTACATTCTGATAATTTAAACAATTCTGTGTAATGCCTGTTACAAATGCTTTGCTTAAAGTGGCATTTCTGTGCACAAAAGAAATAAACTCTGATACGGGAATTTCGTCTATAAGCTGTATAAGTTTTTCAGAGTGCTTGGACAAAATCCATAAAAGCTGTTTAGTTTCTGATAAGTTTTCATTCTATATTAATATATTAGGTGAGTAATAATAAATATTGTCAGATGTCGCAATTCTTACCAAATAGTCACAAAATACAATGCTCCCTCCATTTCGTACTAAACAATCATTTATCGAATAATTTTTATTGCCAATTATTTTGCTCCAAAAATCAAGACAGTTGTAATTAAGTATGCTCAATATGTGACACCATTGGAAAGTAAGTATTGGATGTAGTCTTTGTATTTGGACGAAATTTTTGTTAATTGTGTCAATGCCGGTTACGGATTGAGTTGATTGGTTTAACAGTGATGCAGCTACTTGGGAGACTTTGCATAGACTACCTAAAAAATAACTCTAATATATAAGTATCATATTCTATAATAGGCAGGGAATTAATTAGAAATAATACAATCAATGGTTGCCTGAAATTACCTGATTGAAAAATATGGGAACAGTACATCAAAAATATGCTAAACTCTCCCAGGAGAAAGTCGTCAGGCTTCGAATCAGTTTTCGCTAATTCCACAGATACTATAGAAATGATTCTGAAAACTAATCTTGCAATTATAGCTTCAGCAGAAATATTTTGAAAAGCATCAGCATTGTTGTAAACATTCAACGGATCTGCAGTGGCTGTGAAGTTTTCGAAAATACTTCCTGGATTAAATTGGATTTTGAGCAAGTTTATTTTTGCCAGCAGATTGTCTTCTCTTAGAGGAGATATTATGAAAAGTAGAAGTGTTACTTTTGAGAGCCATCTGTTTAAAGTATAGTCGTAGTGCTAAAAACAAAAATAATAACATTTTAGTAGACATTATTTTCACTTGTTAACAAACATACCAATGATGGCGGATTTTGGAATAACATTACAATAACATCGTCTATCGGTCTAAAAACATTCGGATTCAAAGCAAAAATCAATTTTTTCAGCGACACAAATGTTTCAAAATTATCGATTCTTATTTTGTCGAGTCGTAACATTTGCAAAAATACGTTCGCTACTTGTCCGGACCATCGCAACCATTTTTCCGTATCATCGGTACAATATTTGCTGTCTTCTAGTACTAAAGTTAATAAATCTATTACTTCTTTGTATTCTAGAAGACGCAGTAGCATTGCTAGTACCACTTCTCTAGTGGTTTCTAGTTCTTTCATATCGGTCGTGTTTGATCTAAAAATTGGATTACATAAGAAAGGGGGGGCAAAAAATTTTTTAGGTTGAGATGCAAAAAGAGTTTTTCATATCAATGCCTTGCAGACTGAAGCAAAACGTAAAAAATTTCTAAATGAATTTCCTCTAACTCTCTCGTGCCCATTCATTTTCTTTACCTGCTTCTTATCAAAAACACATCCTCTACAATAGGCTCTAACGCTGGTATGCAATGAGTTATAGGATCTTGTCCACTAGCCATGAGACCATCGCAAAGTTGTATAATTTTTGGAACATCAATAATATTTTTACTATGCTGCTTGGGGTAAGAGAGTTGTACTAAGAATTGGAAAATTCTTGGTATAAGTTCTTCACAATGGGCGACCAGACCTTCTTCAATGTATTCAAATTGTTTCAGGACAAAATCCTTGAAAACTTGCTCAGAATCGAGCAGACAATAGTTGACTCTAAGCTGAACCAGTTGGCTCAATAATTTTAACACTTGACACTGAAAGGCGACGTCACTGCTAACAGTGTATTGCTGCAAAAAAAAATATAACCAAACGTTATTTAAGTAAATTGCCTCGTAGACAAAAATATAGTCACCTTAAGAGAGTTTATAACAATGGGCTCAAAAATCCTAATATAGTTCGCTAACGTTTTGTCAGAAGTTTGAGATATAGTTGACGGCGTTTTAACATCTCTTCTATGCAAATATCCCATAATGGTACTATCTCCATCGCATTCTACCTTACTGATACTATTCAATGATTGGATGCATGATGATGTTTCCTCGTAAGGTTTTTGAAACATGTTGTAATAAAAACTACAATTTTCTTCCTGAAATGATAAATAATTCAATTAACTTTTTTTTGATTTGGTTCGAATAAAATCAAGGAATAGCCAGACCCAGTTACCTTATCGTCATCTTTGACGGTGTCGTTCAAAATATCTCCTAAATTAGCTGTCAAATTCGTGCCAAACAGGCATTTTAACAGTTGTTGCACGCACTGAACAGCAAGCGTGCGGTCCAAAGCAAAAGTCGTTTTCAAGTAACCAAGGATTTCTTCGGAAATTTTGCCGAATTCGTTCAAGGTGCCGATTTCCATAATTACGCATAGTGTATGAATGGTTTTACGCAGCAATTCCAGAAAACTTTCAGATGAAGTTGGATCTAGGGAAATCTGAAATAAATAATATTAATAAGAAAGTATGCATTGCATCTATCATGATATTATGCTTTTTAATAAATGTGACTGTTGAATATTTTTTAAAGCTTTCAAATAAACAATGAAATCACAAAGGTACCTTATAATTAACAAATGCATTCCTCAACATCTCAAATATTTTCATATAATGCTGCGATCCGGTAAAACAGCCAATTCCAATCATCTTTATTTCCCTTTTCTCAGATCTATCGTCCTTCTCTAGTGCCATCTTAGCAGAGCTCAGTGGTGATCGCTTCCCATCAGTTTTTCTTTTTTTGATTGGCGACAACGTACCTGCGGACGGAAGCTGTGGTAACACTGTTTTACTTTGAGGTGGTGCGGGTACCAAGTCGCCAATTACATGATGGAAAACATTTAAAAGTCTCACGACGTGTAGAAGATATTGATCGGAAATGGTTTTAAGCGAATCATCCGAGAGCATTGGCCACGTTTTCTCAGATTTTTCTGTCAGATCGATCGGTTTGAGTGTGACCATTGTATAACCTTAAAAAAAATTATAAGATCTCACCAAAGTAGTAGTCGGTAAACTTACCAGCATACAAATTTGAAGTTAAAGTCATAAGGTTAATCATGAAAGATATGTCGTAAATTTCTGCAGAAGAATTCAATAAATTAACACACAAACCCAAAAGATCTTTAATATTATCACTGGGGCCAGTATTAAGTTTATAGTTATCTGAAACACCCCAAGCCTGTCTGTATAAGGTACAAGGGTATTTATTGGAAAGTGAAGAGAGGGCTTCTATACAACCATACTGAAAAAAAAAACAAATATATTTTGATCAAAAGAATAAGTTACTCCAAGTCAAACCAGAACCTCGTAGGATCTGGACAGCTTGAGATAAACGTACTGATTTTTTCCAGTTAAAGAGATTGAATTTGAATGCAAATTAGGTCTAATTTGTAAACTAAAATCCGTGATTGACTTACAAGAAAATATTTGGAGCTTGTTTCTATCACATTAGTGTATAATTTAATCACTATTATTGACAAAACATAATCAACTCTATCACAGATATTAGATGAAATCTTAGAGTATGGAAATGGCATGTTTTCTACAAAATGTGTCCAATGAACATTATTTGTATTTTCTTTTTCTTGTAAGTGTGGGAAATATTTATTAATAAAACAGATTCCTTTTGTGGTCTCTGTGTGTTCTTTTGGATGATAATCTTCGGAATATAAGCGTTCTATTACACTGGAAATAATTTTGTGCATTATTATAAATCATATGTGAAATATTTACTTACCTATGTATGGCTGTGGAAGCCGCATTTCTAATTCTTTGATCACTATCTTTTAGGAACTTAAACAAAACGTTAAATAGAATTTTCTTTTGAAATAAACCATCACCTAAATTATGGTGAATTGTTATGTATGAAATAGTTGACAATACTTCACATAACGCGACCTAAAAAAAAAAAGATATTTTGTTAGTTTTTAACATCTGTTGGATTGTAATGCGATTTTTGTCAATAATTACTTGATACATACTTTAACTAACCAGTAAGGGTTATGTGCTAAACTCGGAATTACATCCAAAATTGGAAAAACTTCCTTACAGCTCGATGATTCACAGAGTAATTCTAAACTTGGCTTTAAGCTTAGTAAAGTTTGCCTGAGGCAATTAGAATTTTCATCTTGAAGACCCTGCAATAAGAAGTCATTATTATTTTTGAAAAATTAGGCTTTTTTATACATTTTCTTTTTAAGCTAAAGATTGATATGCTTGTCGTATCAGGTTACAAATCTAAACAAGGAAAAGTAATTAACCCAACAACAAGTGCACTGGAAGCTTTGGTTGTTAATTTTTTTAGTCTCTTGATTAAGACTTTATCCAAGGCATAAGCAAAGTTGAGGTACAGAGCATCAATTGGGACTTCCTTGTCATTCTGGGATCTCCAGAGGTTGAGGCAGTTTAGTAGGTTGGTTTCAATGGAACGCTCAGGAAGAAAACCGTGTTGTTCTGGCGGGAATTATTTGATGGACAAGCAGGAAATATGAAAGCTCTTAGGTGATGATTTTTTCAATCATTTGCAGAATGTACGGGTCAGGCTTATTGGTAAATGAATGTAGGATTGAAATGTAGATGAAACTAAAATTTTGAGATAGTGAGTATGGAATTCTTATAGTAAGTAAGCTCATTTGGGATAATTTCAACAAATGACAACAGAAAGTAGCTAACTGCACTAAGAATATCCAGCAACCAATTGGATAATACAGAAAGGCATGCTTAGAGAATTCTAATTAGGTATTCAGTAGGCAATATAAAATAATGGATATCCACATTTTTTGAAAATAGAATAAATTATAATTTCTGATGTATTTATGGTACTAACCTTCACCCAAATGTCCACAAAATCCGCCACGCCATAAAATGAAGACATATCAAATCTAATGCCAGTAGATGCAGTATGATCACTCAAACAACTTTCCCACAATCCAAAATCTAAATGAGTCTTCTTGAGTATCGCCATCAAAACGTCTGACGTTATACACCGAACAATTCCTCTTAACTGTGGGTCTGGATGATCAGCCAGCAATATAATATCATCAATTTTCTGACAATTTTTTGCTGTGTCTCCTGATTGTGGAAAATTCTTGTCAAGATACATGTAGAATCCGTAGGGATAAATTTTGAATATCGAAGACAAACAAGTGAGAGCTGAGGCTTTGACTGATACTCTGACATTTTTATCGCTCATATATTGGTTGGGAATTCCAGGAAGAAGGAAATGCTTTGTTATAAGCCTGGTGCAATAAGCGAGTGACACAGATTTGTCAAGGTAGTCGCCAATATCAGTTTCCTAAAAAATATAAATATTAATAAAAGTAAAATATAAATAAATAAGACTCTACGTAGCAGTCATTATAGCTTTCTAATATTTTCTCATCACTTCCCACTATGCTTTCTTGTGAGGATCTTCTGCTTAATGGTTCCAGATTATCAGTAATGCTGGAACTTTTGGAGCTAATTCCAAATGATTCTGGTAACCTCTGTGGTGTGTCTGAAAACAATTTAAGAAAAATCTCATTCAGCTACTCAACCTCAGAGTCATTAGAAATCAAAACTAATCCTAACAGGCCAAAAACAGCCTTGAAATTAGAACACTCTTGATGGAAGTAGCAAGTACTTTGCGAAAACTTGTTTTTAAATATCAGTTTGAAGAGTCTATCACAGATGTGTCACATGTGCAGTTTATATTTTTTGCATTATCTGGACATTCCATATCCAGATATTTTATCCTACGTTTGATTTCACTTACCATAATATTGAGCAGGTATGCTTGATTGGCTTTGAGAAATTTGAATATCTACCTCGATATCTGAAGTTTCACCAGAATCTGTCTTATCCACATTTTCGCCATTAGGCTCACTTATAACTGACAGTGTCGACTGTCCTATCCATTTCACGATATCAGTTTCAATAGTCTCAGTCAGTTCAGAAAACAGCTGGTCTGATGATGTTGTATTTACTGCGATACTCAATTGACCTTAAAAATAATCACAATCACCAACAGATTAAATTTTTATTGTATTACTTACTAGGAGATCGAATATTGCTGAGGGACAAACTCTGGTGTATCCTATTTTTGTCAATACCGTTTGGGTTCAATAATTTTTCTTGCAAATCTTTAGTTGCATTAAGAAGTAATGTATTTAATGTGTCCAATGCGGCATTTGTAATATTGTGATCTGCACTGGTTAAATAGTAAATACATAATTCGTATACCTTTGAAAATATATGTAAATTTAATACGATTTTTTGCAATTATACATTTATACCTGAAGAAGCTTATTTGTTGGGATTTGTTGTATAACTTCCACTTCTCTAGAGCCAACGCCTTTATTGGACTTTTCAACATTATTCGTAAATGGTAATAAGACTTTTAAACAATGAAGAATTCCTAGTATAGAATAGCTACTTTGGTTGACATCCACTGGCACTATCATATCTGAAGTTAATTCTTGTTACAAAAATAGGCATATAGATTACAATCCCTTACCAATCAAATGATTTATGCAATATGTCACAAAAATATAAGGTCTTCGAGAATGCGTACAAATTGAAAACATACAACTAGATGAAGTTCTTCTAACTAGGGCAGAAGGCTTGACAATGTTTTGCAGAAAAGCTTTTAAAAGAGTCTTGACATCATTATCAGGTGCAAATATCCCCAAATATTTCAATATTTGGGGTAAACTGGCTGCTAAAGTTTCGTGCACCGATTCCTCAGGCCTGTCTGCAATTTTAATAATACTGGGAAACAAGTTGATCACATATGGTTTCCCTTTATGGGTCCTAATGTGGTGGGCTAACTGAGAAAATCGGATTAAGGCTGCTCTAAGGGATCGCGCAGGTCCATTTTTCTTAATTTCCTTATGCAATTCTAATTGGACTTTTCCTGTGTGTCCATCAGTCACGGCCTAAAAATTGAAATCTAACTAACTAATCTAATGTTGTACTTTTTATTCTTAATGTGCGTTTAATACACTTTTAAATAATTTGTGCCAACAATTACTTGGCACAAAACAGAATCCCTACGTAAATGTTTAGTATAGCCTCCTAATAAATTTTGATTTAGGTATTTCTCTTTAATATTTTCAAATAATGTACTACACATATAGTGTAGTACCTACGTTATTTTAAAATATTTGTGCCAAATAGTTTATGGCGTGAGAGACTAGAGAGTAATGATATTCAAAAATAAAATATATTACATACTAAGATTATATTAAAATTTCGGATTTAATCTATTACATATTGGGTTATAGTCCCCAGTACATCGACCTTAAAATTTTGTAACTCATGTACACGCCCAACTTCCTGAGCGGCTTCATAACACCAAGTCGGACAATATTTTTCATGTCTCCACCCTGGGCGATGGGACATTGCTGCGCTAGCTCTTCGTGAAGTTGTCGTTCTGACGTCCCTAAGGAAGTTGATACATGTACGTGTGGTTTCAATGCCAATCGACTGTTTTTTACATTACATTAACGATATCACATTTGTCGGACAAAAACCATGTGGCTTTGGGGAAGGTCCGACACCCTCAACATGTCGCTGTGGCGTCCCTGAGGAAGTTGATACATGTACGTGTAGATTTAATGCCAATCGACTGTTTTTTGTATTACATTACCGATATCATATATGTCGGACAAAAATCACGTGGCTTCGGGGGGCTCCGACGCTCTCAACATGTCGCTGTTACGTCCCTAAGGAAGTTGATACATTTACGTATGTTTTTAATACCAATCGACAGTTTTTTACATCACATTAACGATATCACATTTGTCGGACAAGAAATTTGAGACAATCAATGAAAAAATTAAAATAAGTTTGCCTTAACGCAACATGCATATTAGTCAGTTTATTATTTACCTACTTTGTCAAATACCTGTGGGGCCCTGTGTCATATTCCCTGATCTGTTTTTCTGATAGTTCTCCGAGTATTTACGGAAATTATTTAGTAAACGCGGTCATTCAAAACCACGCGTGTGAGAAAGAATGGATATTCAGTCGTGTTTTTTGTGCAATCTCAGGAGTGAAGATCCTGAATTTCGGCAGAAATTGATCAATAGGACTTTTGTTGTCCGACTGACTTTAATACTCATTTTATTTGTCCGACATTTACTACACATGTTTTAAAATTACATTGTTATTCATAATTATTTTTGTCGGACATAAATGTATCAACTTCCTTAGGGACGCCACAGCGACATGTTGGGGGCATCGGACCCCCCCAGAGCCACGTGATTTTTGTCCGACCTATGTGATATCAATAATGTAACATAGAAAACAGTCGATTGGCCTCAAAACCACACGTACATGTATCAACTTCCTCAGGGACGCCACAGCGACATGTTGAGGGCATCGGAACTTCACCAAAGCCACATGGTTTTTGTCCGACAAATGTGATATCGTTAATGTAATATAAAAAACAGTCGAATGGCATTGAAACTACACGTACATGTATCAACTTCCTTAGGGACGTCAGAACGACAACTTCACGAAGAGCTAGCGCGGCAATGTCCCATCGCCCAGGGTGGAGATATGAAAAATATTGTCCGACTTGGTGTTATAAAGCCGCTCAGGAAGTTTGGCGTGTACATGAGTTACAAAATTTTAGGGTCGATGTACTGGGGACTATTACTTTCAGTTATTATCTCTCAGTTATTGTATGCGCCATTAACTTACTTAACTAAGGAAAATTATTTAAAACAATATATTACGCCTGATATTAAAAAAATAATAAGAAAATTGAGTGAAACATAATATGAGCCTTTATCTCAAAATCTAACCAACGAGGAAGACTCGTGCCCTGCTTGGGGTGATTTCCAGTTTCCTGCAATAAGTGCCGAAATGCTTGACTCTGCCATTAGGAAACTAAAGCCCAGAAAGTCTACGGGGAGTGACAATATACCATCCTACATATACAAGGGATGTTCAGAATTTTTGGCAAAACCTCTATCGCACATCTTCAGAGCATCCATTGAAAATAACACTTTTCTAGACAAACTGAAGACTGCTATTGTAACACCAATTTATAATGCTGGAAATGTTAGTAAAATTAGAAATTACAGACCTATTAGTGTGGTAAACTCCTTGGCTAAAATTTTTGAAATAATCCTTTATGAAAATATTAAGAATGATACGGAAAGCAAGATGTGTAAAGAGCAGCATGGCTTTGTCAGTGACAATTCTGCTAGTTTTCAAAAATAATGTATTGTCTCCCATCAATGATAAGAAACAGTTAGAGGTAGTGTATACGGATTGTACTAAGGCATTTGACAAGGTAGACCATCAGATATGGCTGGTAAGCGTACTGAATTTGGCTTTTCAAAAAGTGCCTGCATTTTTATTCAGTCATACTTAAGTAATAGAACGCAATCTGTAAAAGCTGGTGAATGCATGTCAGAACATTTCACACCAACATCTGGTGTTTCCCAAGGTAGTAATCTAGGTGCTATATTATTTGCCATATTTATAAATAATTTACCAGGTTTCTTTAAACATTCTGATAGTTTGCTCTTTGCTGATGATTTTTAAAATTTTGAAACTGTACCTATTGTGCGAAAATAACTGTGCTCTGATATAAGTTGATTTAAATAGTATTGTTGATTATTGGTTGGTTCTCAAACAATAACATGTTCTTAAATGTGGATAAGTGCTGTGTAATGTCATATTCCCATAAATTGAATATTTACCCAACATACAGTTGAGGGGAAAACTGCTACCCACAGGTACAGAAAAAAATTATCTCTTTTTACTCTTAAGTTAATTTTAGGTAGGTTCATGTATAGGAATATAGTTAATTAGGGAACATTTATTGTAGGACTTATATCATTAATAGGAATCAGGAATCAGAGGGAAAATGCACAACCTTATTAAAACATACTTAATGAACGGGAAGCAATATGTAAAAATGGGGGAACATGTTAGTAATACTGGAGATATTGAGTGCGGGGTACCTCAAGGCTCCGTCTTGGGGCCACTTCTTTATTCATTGTATGTACTGAGTCTACAGTGCTCAGGAATACAAGCTAGGTATTTTGCCTTTGCCGATGATACGGTACTTTTATATAGTTTGGAAAATGAGCATAACCTAGAAGTTACAGTCAATACAGACTTACAGAAGTATATGAATTGGCTGATGTGCAATAGACTTAAAATAAATACAGAAAAAACTCAATATATGATATTTAAGCAAAAAAAACAGAACAATCAGAGCCCCCTCGATAAAAATAAACAACATCAATATTGCCAAAGCAGAAAAGGTAAAATATCTGGGCCTAATCATAGACGAAAAACTTAACTGGAATGCACATATAAATCATATTTCGGACAAGATTGTGCCAATGGTTGGGGCTTTGTACAAAAATAGAGACTATTTAACTCATAAAACCAAAATGAATGTATACAATTCTTATTTCCTATCTCACTTTAGATATCTGCTCCCCATATGGGGAAACTGTGGTGTAATGAACCTCAAAACTGTTCAAACACTTCAAAACAAAGTACTTAAAGTCCTCTTTAACTATAATATATTAACACACACTGAAGATCTATATGCTGAATTGGGTGTCTGTCAGATTGACAAACTACTTAAATTAGAACAATGCAAGTTAATGCATAAAATCATAAATAAAAAACAAAAAACCAATACACACATAAACTTTGCATTCAATATACATTCACACCATACACGATCTCAGAGGGACATCTACCTTAATCATGTTAGAACAAATAGGGGAATTTTGAATCCATTGTATCAAGCCTCTTCTATGTATAATAGTCTTCCTTTAGAAATAAGAAATATTTTTGGGGGTAATAGATTTGTAAAGAGGGTTAGGTTGTTTTTGGATATGTAAAGCATGGATTAGTGATTGTACTGTTTTACTATATAGGTAAATATATGTATACTTTTTTTCTTTTTAAATGTTTTATTATAGTATAATTATTGTTATATAATGTGTAGTAGATAACAATAGTACTGTTGCATAAATATTAGATTTATTATGGTCGATACCAGTATTTTAAATACTGTTTAGATTACAAAGATGGATATAATTGTTATTATTGTTATACTTATGAATGAATAAACGATTTCAAAAAAAATAACATAATAAATAAATAGTACACACTGTATCTGCCTTCTTTTCTCCAATGTCTGGAACTTGAAGTCATACAACATTATAATATAATTATAACTATATGAGACTAGATACGGATAAATATTATATCATTAAATCGCCCTATGTTACGCATAATGAATCCAAGAGATCAACATGCTTGGTTAATAACGTACTCATAATGTTGATTAAATTTAAAATTGATCTTAAAGCACACCCCAAGATCCGTGTATTCAGTCTTTTTTTGAAGTTCAGTATTATCAAATGAATATAAGATAGGATTAGTTTTGTTTGTGAATGTCATAGCAAAACTTTTTTTAGAATTAACCATCATTTTATTTGTTCTGAACCAATCAGAAACTGAGTTCAGATCATCCTGAAGTGCAACACAATCGTTATCATTGGTAACACACTTAAAAATCTTGAAATCATCTGCAAATAACAGACATTCTGGCTCTTTAACAACGCTCAAAACATCGTTAATAAACATTAAAAACAAGAATAGGCCCAAACTACTATCATACTGAATTACTATATACAATGCATTGGTTCACTCTCATTGAGAGTATGCATCTATCATCTGGTTCTCTCAAGCAAATCAAAATTGGTTCCTTAAATTAGCACAACGAAAATAGCACACATCAGAAAAACTAGAGTACTAAATTCGGGCCTATTTAGTGCTAATTTAGTATGAAAAAAAATAATTTATAACTCTATTTTAAAAAAAATTACTTGCATGTGTGCCAACTTAAGATTAAGCTGGCACACTCTAGTTGGATCAGGTCGAATCTTTG